GTAGTAGTTGTTGTTGTTGTAGCAGTAGTAGTAGTAATAGTAGTAGTAGTAGTAGTGGTAGTAGTAGTGGTAGTAGTAGTAGTAATAGTAATAGTAGTAGTAGTAGTAGTTGTTGTTGTTGTAGCAGTAGTAGTAGTAATAGTAGTAGTAATAGTAGTGGTAGTAGTAGTAGTGGTAGTAGTAGTAGTAATAGTAGTAGTAGTAGTAGTAGTTGTTGTTGTTGTTGTAGCAGTAGTAGTAGTAATAGTAGTAGTAGTAGTAGTGGTAGTAGTAGTAGTGGTAGTAGTAGTAGTAGTAATAGTTATTATCATTATTATTATTATTATTATTCTTTAGCTGGCAGTCGCATGTTCAATGCCAGTTTGTTCATGCTATGCTGTTGTTAACGATGTTTTACTGTTATCATCATCTATGTTAATATTATTGCTATTATTATTGTTGTTATTGTTGTTGCTGTTATTTATAGACGACGACGACAATGATGATGATGATGACGACGATGATGACGATAATGATGTTGTTGATGTTGTTGTTGATGATGATGATGATGATGACGAAGACGATGATGACGACGAAAGACTAAATAGTTTAAAGTTGAGGGAGAAACCGCTGGCGACATCTGCCGAAATTAAGAAATAAAATGAAAATAAATGAACTCACATAAATAAACATTTCTGGATCGTCATCATTACTGCCATCATCATCATCATCACCACCACCATCGTCATTATCACCACCACTACTATTATCATCATCATCACCACCACCATCATCGTCATTATCTTCATCATCATGCTAACTACTTTGTCTTTCTATGATGGTTTCTCGGTAATTTTCGTCATCATTATCATAGTCCTATCATAGTGATTATCATTATCATCGTCATCCTTATCATCACGCAGTTACTCTTTAGGTCGTCATCATTATCATCATCATCGTCATCTTCGGAGTTTCGCCATTTTATTTCATGCGCATTGAAGAAAAGATATTAAATTCTGACAGGATAACCAGCATGGCCGCCAATTGATAATGACATCAGCAGATGACGCAACGTCACGTGACGATATGATAATGATGATGATGACGATATGATGATGATGACGATGATGATGATGTTTGCACGGTCCAAATTTAATAACATTTATTACAATGACGTTGACAAGCCCCTGTCTGGCGGTGATGATGATGATGACGACGGTGATGATGATGATGATGACGACGACGACGATGATGATGATGAGGATGATGATAATGATGATGATGATGGTGATAGAAAACTATTTCAAAAAAATAAAAAAATTAATCCTCTTCTAAGCCATTCATTCATCTGA